AAGTGCTTTTCACAAGCACAGATTTGCAGTGAGAGGAAATAAACCTCCAACGGCGCCTTGCAGTTTTCAGTTGATAAATTCAGAGCCGGGACGTTGTTTGGACAGCAGCCTTAACCTCGAGTCGTTCCTGATCCTCTCCTGCTGTCGGGGTTTTCTTATTCGGTTTAAGAGGCAAAAGGATCATTTATACTGAGGCAAACTGTGAATACATGCAGGTCAGTCTACTGTAACAACAGAAAATCCTTAGTTGCGAATGGTTACACGCCACTCTTCGATACGCTGCCCTACATATACAAATCCTCTTTCAGTTGGTGTCCAGGTACAACTCTCTGTCAAACACCAGATTCATGTTTGTACATAAAGAAAATCCAGCATTAAATATGTAAGTCAGCACGCAGGCTTTTGGCACCTTTAGTGGAAATGGGAGACTACGAGGGTGTAAAACATACAAACACATCAAAATAGAAATATGTACATACAAATAATGATTTGATCTTTCGAAAATATTCCATCACTCCTCCCAGCTCAGCGTCGTCTGTCTGAGAAGTGCTCTCTTCTTCTTCTACCTTCACTTCTCCCCAACATTAAGATTTCATTTCATTTAAGCCTCTTTTTTCCTGCTACAAGGTCGACCTTGTCCAGGCGTCTCTCGGTCGTCAGGACGATCCCTTCTCCCTCGCTCGGTTGTCGAAGTTGCCCTGAGGAAACGATCTCGGATCAGAGTTCCTGGCTTGGCCTCGGGCAGGAACTAGAACTGATTTTTAAAGGGAGATGTGCTCAACAAGTCCAGTCAACACTTAAAATTTCTTTAACTCCTTCTGCACCTGTGAGGTGAGGCTGGAGGCGAGCCCAGCTGACAATGGACTCGATCTTTGTTTGATTTAAATGCAAATATTATTACTCTTTGGCCAAACTGAGAAAATGCACATTGTTTTGTAATCACTGCTAAAAGACCAGATTTCTAAAATGATCCTCAATCAGAGTCTCTGGGCAACTTCCTCCTGTTACTGGCATCATCTGATGTCATAGCTATTTGCTTTTATTAGCATTAACCATTTTGTGTCCCTCCAACAGTATTTTCAGCCAGGGACACAAAATGGCTCATGTCAAACCAACCTTCACAGTCTCAGTGAATCATCGGTGCCGATCGGTCGTTGGTTGTCGTCTTCTTCAGCTTGACGCCTCGTCGGATGGCCGCCAGAAAGTCCTCCACCTCAGCGTATTCTGTTTCCTCCAAGAGCTCTGGGAGGGGTCGACGCTCCCACTCTGATGACCGACCGCTGGGCTGTGGAGG